TAATGTATATATATACATGTAGACCGAGAGAGAGAGAGAGAGAGCGAGAGAGAGAGAGAGAGAGAGAGAGAGAGAGAGAGAGAGAGAGAGAGAGAGAGAAAGAGAAAGAGCGAGCGAGAGAGAGAAAGAAGTGATGGGCGGGGATGGGTGGGTTGGTGAGAAAGAGAGAGAAGCGAGAAAGAAACCTACCCCAATCTAATATTACCGATCCAATGTATATATTATGCATTCATATCGTGAGCAGTACGCATACAGCTTAACAGCAGTCAGTACCATGTGCTTTATTAAATAGCGTAGAAGCCGCACACTTCTTAGCACTGTCGTCACAGTTATTCTGGGCATAAATGCAATAATCATACGCATAAACACGAAATTGTGTCTTTGTGTGATAGAAATATGCGACTATGTAGATTCTATAATTAGCTCTTTGCTACTTATCATTACGTAAGCTTTGACCTTCATCTAATAAGAATTTGAATCTTTACAAGTGGGAATTTTCTTCAGCGAGTAGGAATCTTGGGTAACGAGTCATTTAAGCACAATACTACATGATTCAATAACAGTTCTACAACGATTTACAAATAAAATACAATCATATGCGTACTCATCGTAGTGTAACGACAAACACAGAGATACAAGCATAGACTGAGATACATTTATGATACAGTGATACATAATTCGTTGTCTATGAAACAGGCTATGAGAACAAAAATAATACAAAACAACATTGAACATGATAGGTCGAGTCTCTCTACCACTGGACTAATGAGAGTGTTGCGTTCCTTGGAAGTACTGTATATATATATATATATATATATATATATATATATATATATATATATCAACTTCCTGTAAAATGACCACTCCCATAGCAGGAGTGGCAATAATTTTCCATGCAGTTTTCACATCGAGATTAATTTTTTTTCCACGCATAACGGTCTAAAATCGTAGAAAATGTGAGTGAATCGTAATAGCGGAATTATAGGCTAAAATCGTACAAATCGCCGCCGAAATCGGAGGGGTTGGCAGCTCTACTGTTCCTCTAACTCAGTGGTTCTTAGCCTTTTTGTCCCACGACTCCATCATATATTCTTGGTCAGTACCGTGACCCCCGAAACAAAAATTGAGAAAAACAGCCCGATTTATGGAAACGTCTGCCAATACTCAGTCAATGGGATGGCTGAAATTGCTTCGCAGCCATCAGGCGATAAAAAAAAAATCGGACAAGTGCTTTGGGCTTGTAGGCAACCGAATTTATGAATCAAATTTTGTAGTACCCTGATAATTATATAGAATTTAAATAGATTTGTTTCATTTATGGCCCCTTGATGACCTTCGGAAACACCTCAAACGACCCCCAGGTTAAGAACCGCTGCTCTAACTGCTGCCGATACGGTGGCAGCGCAACTCACAGACTAGTGAACTTCTCCTGACACCGACCCCACATCTTCGTTCGCCATTCGCTGGATTCGCATCGTAAAGAATACCTGGATATGATTTTGTTTGTAGCGTCGGACTACGACTCTGTAAAGCCACACGCCCTGAAAATGAACGGCCGCCATTAAGAACATTTGAAGGTTGAAATATAAAGACGCAGGGATTGCGAGGTTTCGTGGCGAGCGTTAACAAATATATTCTTCTAAAATGGATCGTAGTAAAGATGGTAAAAGGGGAAAGGAATGAAAAAAAAGGACCGAAGAGAAAATAAGTTGAGCGTGAAGAAAATATGCAGATGGACGGGGCGAGACAGGAGACGGAGAGGAAGAGTTAGAAAGAGAGGAGAAGGGGAGAGAGAGGGGGGAGAGAGAGGAAGAGTTA